GGGGGGGGGGGAGTCGGATGGTATGACGCGGACCTGGTGCCGATAAAGACTTATCCGACGGCCAGACTATCGGTCTCATTTATCGAGACTCCCCGTATCAGTCCGGCTGCCCCTCACGAAGGGCCCACCTAGCGCCACCGCCCAGCCACGCAACGGGCGAGAGGTCCTAATCGGCGCCAATACATTTAGTAAAATTATATCAGGGCAAGGGGGTAAGGGGCACCATCGATGTGCACGTGTTTGACCCCCAGCCGATGAAGTACAGCAGGGAGGCGCGAGCGCCGTGAGGGGAAGGGCCGAACAGAGGAAGGTGACTCAAGGCCACGGGGAGGTCACGGGGGCGTGCAGTGTCAGGGCCATAGCAGAGGGGACGATACGCGATGCGGGGGCCGCGTATGGGGGGATGGGGTGAAGGGGTCCCCGGCCAGCAACACGAGGGGGCAGCAGCACCAGAACCTCTTTCCATCTGGTCACTGCCGCCGGTAGATAAGCTCACACCGGTGCCCGGCGGGGGGCTGGCCCCCGGCTAGCCGCACCGGGGGCCCGCGGGCCCCACCAGCGAGCCATGCCCAGGACGCGTGGGGCATGGCTCGTGTGGAGAGGAGGCGCGCCAAGGCCAAGCACGGGCCGCCTCCGAGGCGACACCCGCTCCGTCGGACGGAACGGGCGACTCCAACGCGTCGCCGGGCGGCTCGGACGCAGCCACAACAAACACCCACGACGGCTCTCAAATACCCGGTTGACCAGGGTATGAACCGGGTCGGCCGGGTGGCAATCACATTAAAGCCGGGTGCACGTGTAAAAGTGAGAGTACCAACACCCACAAAAAGCTCACAGGAGCCGGCCGGCATGGCAGGCGCCGGTCCAAACACCGGTGAGGGCCCACTTTTTCCTGGCCAAGTCGTACGTCGAAACGTTAGCGCGAGCGGGCCGCGTGCACAAGCACAATAGAAACATGAGCCAGGAGGCTACGCAAGGCCGGTCGGGGACAATCGTGAACCCCGGCCTGTCCAGGAGCTCCAGGGGCCGCCCAACCGGCTCGGCGTTCGGCGACTTCCAGGGCACGGGAATGTGGGTCATGGAGCACGAGCGGGCTGTCGGGCGGTGCAACGTGCAGCTGCTGCACCTGCAGGAGGGAACAGGGGAAGGCGGGAGGGGGAAGGCCGCCGCGCGCCTGGAAGACCACCCACCCCCTCCCCACTTCAAGGTCACGCAAGGACGAGCCCAATTATAACACCCCTTATCAGCCAGCTTGAAGACACGTCGCCCGACAGTGACTAGACTCGTACGCCGAGGGGGGCGGGGCGCGGCGGGCGGGGCTAGAGCCGAGCCGGCCCGGAGCGCCGAAACACGTCAAATGCACGCCTCCTTGTAGGTTAGACAGGCCGACGAGCGCAGGGCGGACGCGACCGCGAACCCCACGGACGAGTGTCACGAGCGGCAGGACCTAGAAGGGGCACCGGCGGGGCAATGCCCCCGGGACTCGGGGGAGCACGCCGTCGTCAAACACTGCTGTCATGACACCTACCTTGGGGTCCTTCTCGTAGTAGAACTGCTGCGTGCGGATCCATCGGGACGTCAGATGGTCCTTGACGGTGTGGGCGAGCGCGAAGTAGTAATCCCTGGGGGTGGCCACGTTGCGGTCCTTCACCAGGGTGTAGTGGAGGTGCCGGTTGAATGTCTTCTTCACGTTGGTCACATTCTCCACCTGGGCGATGCCGCGCACACTGATCTGCTTCCTCTTCTCGATGTCAGTCTTGGGAGCCGACATGGTGCAGGCTTGGTAGGACTAGACTGCAGTAGTGACTTGACACAACAAACTCCAAAGCTGCGACGGGGTAGCCTGGTGTTGTGACCCGCTCCTCGTAGAGCGGACTACGGTAATGCTGAGGCGAGAGAGCGTCCAACTCTGTATGTTCAAGAGGTCACCTTGCCCGCCTGCCCAGAAGGTCGAGCCAGTGCGCAGGCGCAGACTGCTAGCAGACGACGCTAGTCTTGATGCACGGCCGCTAGAGGGCACCCCTCGGTTTGTTTACGTCGCCCTGCCGTCAGCTGAGCGTCGTCTGCTAGCACTGAAGGGTTAAATTTAGGGATTTGAGTGACATTAGAGGGAAGTGCCTTTTTGACGTGAGTCGAATGGTTTCAGTTGATGATCGGTCTTTAACAGAGAAGAGTAGTAAGAAGTGATTATTTTTAGATCCACCCCACTTATTGAAGGTGCGTTTGGAGGTTAAATAGGACATTTGTCACATTTCAGGAAATCTATTTGAAGTCAACCTAATTTATCATCATAAATAAGTTTATTTTGAATTCTCTTTTTCAGGCGCATCTTACTAAGATGTCGAAGCTTCTGAAACTAATAACTTTTGACTGCACCGAGACTCTTATGATGTTTCATCCTCCTGTGGCCCAGAAATATACTGAATCTGCTGAGAAATTTGGGATTTCAATCGGTACTGAAGATTTACTTTCACACTTTAGAGTTCAATTCAAGGCATTAAGTAAAAATCACCCGAATTTTGGGAGACACACAGGTTTGGGTTGGAAGTCTTGGTGGGGGCAGATTGTAGTAAATACTTTTAAATCAGCTAACCCATCTATTAAGAATCATAAAGCTCTAGAGCAGCTTGCCTCATTTCTTATTGAGGAGTACCAGACCAATCGGTGCTGGGCTTTAGCAGATGGCGCTTGTGATATTTTAGACATGTTGAAACAGAAGAATATTTCTATTGGTGCTATTTCAAACACTGATGAAAGATTAGAAAATACTTTGATGTCTTTAAAAATTCATTCATATTTTGATTTTGTTCTGACATCCTACTCAGCAGGTGTAATGAAGCCAGACAAACAGATTTTTGATTTGGCAAGGAGCCAGATTAATGGTCATGTTTCTCCTGGTCTTTGTGCACATGTCGGGAATTCTCTCAAATTTGATTATTTAGGCGCCCAAAACGCCGGATGGAACCCAATTTATGTGGGACCAGTTGATGATGAAGTTCTGAGAATGGCAGCTTCCAACACTGTATTTAATAATTTGGCAGAGTTGCATTCATATTTGGAAAAAGTGTTGCCAGGTATTGATGAGAATGATGATACAGCTTTAATAAAATAAAATTATAAGCCACCATATTAATGTTTCTTCTTTAGTAGGCCCTAAAACTGACAGGTGAATATAGCAGGTAATAAACAAAATACTGATTATGTACTTTTTATGTTTATTTGTGTACAAAGCACAATACCAATACATCTGTAATTTACATCTACATGACGGGGGGAGTAGAAAAAAAGACAGATCTACAAAAAACTTTTCAGAAGGAAATTTCATTTCAATCATAATTTTAGTTTTCTACAAATCCTACTCCAAATGACGTTACATTGCAAAGAGCCCTGGAGTAATTTCCCTTCTGTAACTGGGTCTTTTACTCCATATCTGTAGTTGTTTCCTTTTTGAATATCACTTTTGAGTGAATGGTTTCAATTCTTTTCAAGGTGTTTTTCCTGACTTTGGTGGAGGTAGAAAAAATAGAGAATGAAGCCAATATCCATGTAGTACCACAATGTACTTCAGCTAGAGAAAAACAGCTAAGCATGAGGAGGAATATTTGTGGTACATGCTCTTAGATCACAAGGACCATTTCATCACAAAACTCAGAGCTCCAAATCTCCCTCATACATAGATATAAGTCTATATATAAGTATATATAAAATCTTTTGTCACTTTACAGTCTATATAGATTAAGTCTTAATGAAAACGAAGTAACATTGATTGAATAAGCAATCAAGCTGTTTACAATTGTAAGCAGGTATTTTAAGTGCAATAGTACGCAACATAGACAATTTGGCTTTTAGTTAAAAACAAAGATAAACATAGTAAACAACAAAGGCATCAAGGGAAATCGCCATGCAGAGACTAGCGCAGCTACAGAGAATTACTTAACAAATGCACCAAAAATCTAACTTACAAGATTGCTTCTTCAATGGAAAGATTTATAAAGTGACACAAAGCTGCTTGACATTAAAAAAGAGAATCTCATACTTGTTTCACATATGTTTTATCTTCCTTCTTCAAACTTTATACAACCATTTCAACATTTTACAATTAAAATTTGAAGGGTTTTCCAACATACACGTATCACATAAACTATATGAATATGATCTGGTAAAAATCACACTTAAAATTCAATTTGCAGAAGATATACAAATACAAAATGCTTTCTTGAAGGAGAGGAAGGAGATCAAGGACGGGAAAGGAAGGGGAAGGGGAGCAGGCACTAAAGGAAAGTATCGGTTTTTAACAGAGTTTGGGAAGCAGGAGCGAGGAGGAAGGGGAGAGGGAAGGGGGAAGGGATTTGGGATACTTGCTTGGCAGTAACAAGAAAAGTGTGAGCTCACACTTATTGATGCGATACATTTCTTACAAATTTAATATAAAAAAGAAATAAAGGAATTCACAAATAAATAGAAGTAATGCAGTGGTAGATTTAAAAAAAAAAATTAAAACAAAGAAAAAAAAACGAACATCAACGAGCTTGAACAGACAATTCATTCAACATAAATAGAGGCACACAAAGTGTTCAAGTTACATGCCCTTTTTGTATGCTGAGCCACATTTGAGTTTCGTTAAATTAAGAATTGTAATAATTTTTTTATAGCTAATGCTATACAGAGGTGTTGAAGGTCACTGCCTCTTTGCCTCCGTTTCTGGTTCTTTTCACACAACCCAATATGGGCTTCTTGTTCCTGCTTACTGCTCTTTCTTCTCCTCAGCCTTCTTGCCAATGGGAATGGCAGCCCTGACCCTGAAATAATAGGATTAGATTAGACATTGAGGGAAAGATGGAAAAGTTAGGACAAAGCAGAGCTCGGTACTCACTTGGCTGTGATTTCGTTAACTTTTCCAGCAACAAGTTCGATGTTCTGGTCTATCTGAGCCTTGTTCGTTTCATACACCTTGGGAAGAGTGAACAGAGCCACCACACCTGAAGTAAAAAAGATAGTAAAAAATTAGAGAAAATAAATAAGTTGGATGGATATTAACTTGAAATACTGAAAGAACTTTTGGAACAGTTCTTTAATTAATTTCTTAATAAATTTGATTTATTTATTGGACAGATATATGATCAACGCTTGGATTTTAAAGAATTGGATCAGAGCATAAAATATTCCAACCATGATCATTCTAGTGAATGCCATTACAGCAAAAGGCCTGTTTAATAATCGGGACACCATGTTCATGTCCCTAACACATACAGAACGTGTGAAACCCATAGATATAGCTGCTAAAAGTTTAGAACTTGGTAACTGCTTTACTCACCAAGAATGATGAGTGTCATGCCATTGAACCAGGATCCCACATAAGTGAGCATCCACAGGCCAACACCAAACTTCACGGAGTCAATAAAGTCTTCAACAAGGAAGAGGCGACGAAGCTCCGAAACAACGGCGTTGATGTGGGTGACAGCAAGGTCGCTAGTCGATCGTACTTTTTCTGCTGGCAGAGTGAGGTCCAACTCCAAGATTTCCCTAAAAAAAGAAATCATAAATAAATATAAAGTAAATGGGTGAAGTTTACAAATGATACTGGAAATATGCTGCGCTCAATCATATTTAAAGTTGTTTTAATTTAATTATGTTTTGAAATTCAAATGCTTTAATAGTTCTTATGTTAGGAAGCTACTGTTTTATAGATGTCTTTGCATTAAATTCTCATTAAGATTGTAAGCTTTGAGCTACAGGTACTGGGCTAGTTAAGAAAGTTTTTAAAAGACTCACTTGAATGGGTGTCCATCTGATGTCTTCTGAATAGCCTGCTGGACTGTCTTGTAAATACGGAATCCAAATGCAGCAGTCAGAGCCAGGAGAGAAAGGTTGGCAACTACACTGATGAATGAGAAGAATGACAGCGAGAGCAGCACAACCATAATTCCTCCAAACACGATTCCTGACTTCTTAGGGTCCCGCCAGTAGACCAGGGCCTCCACTGAAACAGAAGAGAAAGAAGAGATTAGTTTCGTTCAACATTCTTGAAATAGATCAAAGAAAAGATAACATGGAGGGAACAGCCATATGGGTATCTCTTGAGAGATTTACTAGAGTGCAGTTGCACAGATTTATCTAAAAGTAGCTTCCTATTGAAGACAAAACAAAAAACTGCTCATTATTTCCAGGGTGAAGTTTGATAGAATTTCTGGGCAAGTAGGAAACCTCTTTAGCATGTGCTCCTTCCATGCCAGCATAGCACACACAGCTGACTCCTTTGTTACACCCTTAATGTTTAACAAAGAGAAAATTTTCAATCACCATGGTAAACGGCGCTAACTGCCCACAAGGAAGAGGCACTTGCACCCCTGGAGTCTCCATGTTTAAGACTTCCCTCCCCGCTGCGCACAAGCTGCTCACCAGCGCCACAACGTCAAGCGAAAGTTTCCCCAAAACGTCAACATAACCTCCACGAAAGTCGGCCACCCCCAGTCATCTAGCGGCATCCTTTTCGTCCAGGTCCGCAGCCCATGGTGAATTAGAGGGAATCATCCCCTAGACAAGGAGTCGACGGGGGTGGTCAACGTCATCACCGCGAGCCATAGGGTCCCTAACGACGAAACCCGCGACCGGGAAGTCGCTGACAGATGGCGACAACAGCCGCGGCCCCAGCGGCCAACGGCCCTTCACCTGGCCTCCCCTTTGTCACTGCTTACCGGGGCCCCTGGGGGGTAGCTCAACGTCGGTTTCATATTTGTTGTTACGGCGGGGCGCCATGGCAGCGACGACACGACTTAACTCCGGGGCGATCAAAAACCAAAAGAACCAGTCCGGTTCGGGCCTAAACCACTGCGGGGCTGGCACCACACGTATACGTAGCGGAGCTGCTGTGTGCTCGCCGAGCCGCTGTGGAGGCGAGGGGAGGGGGGGGACGTGTGGGCGAGGAGGTGGCGGGGG